TAATCATGAAATCTGCTGTGTTGGTGTAATGTACTCAGGTGAATAAGATGTTTGTGTGATGTTACTCTGAGTGTATATCCACACCGGGCAGGCTTGAACCGACCTGACCGCGTAGCTCAGTTGGAAGAGCATTGGGCTAGTATTCCGAAGGTCATAGGTTCGAATCCCGCCGTGGCCAGGCATATTTTTCAAGCCTGCCCGGTGTGGATATACACTCAGAGTAACATCACACAAACATCTTATTCACCTGAGTACATTACACCAACACAGCAGATTTCCTTAGTAATTGTTTCGAAGTGAAAATTAGCTCAAACTTGTCAGTCTGAAAATTGCTAATATTGAGGATATTACATACATGACCATGCGAAGACACGAATTCTGTCTTCGAGCGTTGCGATATCTCTCATGAGCACGTGAGCGAAGCGAATGATTGCGTGAGATAGCAAGCAACGGTTTTGACAATACGAACGGCACGAGTAACTTCAAAAGACTTTGTCACGAATGTTGATTGGTTGATAACGTCAAATTTGCTTCCGATCAACGTTCATTTTGTCAAAAACGTCGCTTGCTTAAGTTCGCTATTGACAACACTAGAAGTTAAAGTACGAACCATCTGCAATCGGCCATGTGAATGTTCTGTTTATCAGATGTTCCTGAAGAGGCAAAATGAGAGCCGGGATTCACCTCAATCTCGCACACCTCCAATCACATACCCAAAGCCGATCAAAAGGATTGCTGGCTCTGGGTACAAGATTGGGCTTCACCTATTTTTGGGCTGCGAAAACGAGATTTGTGTTAGTGGGACTGGGATCTCACCACTGGGAGAAAACGTGATATCTCATCAAGATCTACATAGTCCCTGAACCGAAGGCGCGAAGCGCCTTGCGAGGGTACTAATTACCCCCGGCTATTTACACCCGGGGAAACGAAAGCATTAGCGAAGTCTAAAGTTCATTAATAGCGAGGTTTAGCAAAGACGACGCGACGTCAACGAGGACGTGAAAATGGCGTAAAAATGGCGTGGGCACATCCATAGATGGGCATATCACGCCATTTTTACGCCATTTTCACGTCCTCGTTGACGTCGCGTCGTCTTTGCTAAAGCTCGCTAATGAGCGCGGGCGTCGGTCACCAACCATGGGTGGTCATCCTCACCCAGATGATCTTGATACGCGGAAAAGTACTGGCACTAGTTGTCAAGTAGAAATCCATTTTATGATTAAAACAACTGAATATCTCCTGTAATATACTTTATTTCGATTCCATATTTTTGTCAGAGCTATAGTTCTCATAGCCAAA